TTTTACCTGCAAGGTCAATGTGACCTTGACCTTTGACCCCTTGACCCCAAAATCAATAGGTCATCTGCTGGTCATGACAAATCACCATACCAAGTTTGAAGTTCCTAGGCCTAAGGGTTCTTAAGTTATTGATTGTAAAGCATTTTTACCTACAAGGTCAATGTGACCTTGCCCTTTGACCCCTTAACCCCAATATCAATAGGGGTCATCTGCTGGTCATGACCAATCACCATACCAAGTTTGAAGTTCCTAGGCCTAAGGGTTCTTTAGTTATTGATCGGAAACAGTTTTAACCTAAGATGTCAATGTGACCTTGACCTTTGACCCCTTGACCCCAAAATCAATAGGGGTCATCTACTGATCATGACCAATCACCATATCAAGTTTGAAGTTCCTAGGCCTAAGGGTTCTTTCCTTACTGATCGGAAACCGTTTTTACCTACAAGGTCAATGTGACCTTGACCTTTGACCCCTTAACCCCAAAATCAATAGGGGTCATCTGCTGGTCATAACCAATCACCATACCAAGTCTGCAGTTCCTAGGCCTAAGGGTTCTTTTGTTATTGATCAGAAACCGTTTTTACCCAAGAGGTCAATGTGACCTTGACCTTTGACCCCTTGACCCCAAAATCAATAGGGGTCATCTACTGATCATGACCAATCACCATACCAAGTTTGAAGTTCCTAGGCCTTAAGGTTCTTTAGTTATTGATCGGAAACCGTTTTTGCTTACAAGGTCAATGTGACCTTGACCTTTGACCCCTTGACCCCAAAATCAATAGGGGTCATCTACTGATCATGACCAATCACCATACCAAGTTTGAAGTTCCTAGGCCTTAAGGTTCTTTAGTTATTGATCGGAAACCGTTTTTGCTTACAAGGTCAATGTGACCTTGACCTTTGACCCCTTGACCCCAAAATCAATAGGGGTCATCTACTGGTCATGACCAATCACCATACCAAGTTTGAAGTTCCTGGGCCTTAAGGTTCTTTAGTTATTGATCGGAAACCGTTTTTGCTTACAAGGTCAATGTGACCTTGACCTTTGACCCCTTGACCCCAAAATCAATAGGGGTCATCTACTGGTCATGACCAATCACCATACCAAGTTTGAAGTTCCTAGGCCTAAGGGTTCTTTAGTTATCACTCGGAAACCATTTGGTCTACGGACCGACAGACCGACAGACCGACGGACCGACGGACCGACAAGTGCAAAGCAATATACCCCCTTTTCTTCGAAATGGGGGCATAATAATACCTCAACTCCAATATGATCACACTGAAATACTGTTTCCATGGTAACATGATATAATTATAGACAAATTTTACATTCATACATGTATAATATTACCCCAAAAAACAGCACCTTCTAATACATCAATTTTTAAGCAAGTTGTCCCAAGCAAAAATGCCCACTTTAAATGGAAGGAAGTATAAAAGAACACATTTAAATGAACATGAATCAAAATGTTTATAAAAGCCATACAAATACAGACATGCCTTTTAACCTGCTAAATTTATTTGAGCCGTGTCACGACAAAACCAACATAATGGCTTTGCGACCAGCATGGATCAAGACCAGCCTGCGCATCCGCGCAGTCTGATCAGGATCCATGCTGTTCGCTATCAGTTTCTCTACTTGTAATAGAGTTTGTAAGCGAACAGCATGGATCCTGATCAGACTGCGCGGATGCGCAGGCTGGTCTGGATCCATGCTGGTCGCAAAGCCATTATGTTGGTTTTGTCGTGACACGGCTCATTTAAACTTTTTATGATTTTACTCTCCTTTGAATTTGGAACAATCAATTTGACAATATATAGACTTTAACATCAAAATACAAAACATTTAGCTACCAGCAGTATAGAACCTGGTCAGACTACATGGATGTGCAGGCTTGCCTGGATCTGTACTGGAGGCAAAGGCTAAAATCATTTTCAGCTCTATCAGGGTAAGGGTTAACTCTTTGACTGCATACAAGACTGGTATTCAGATTTCACTAGCTTTATCTGCTAACCAGTCTTCAGTTTAAGGAAAAGTTACCTTGATTTATTGATGGTGCTTTTTAAGGTGAAAGTACAATGTATGTACAGAAATTTTAAATATTTGTTTGACTTTCTATGTTCATTTTTCTTGCACAAGTATTACAAGTTTTATATACATGTAGTCAGTACATAGCGTATACTTCTTTTCATTTTTTTTTTTTTTTTGGGGGGGGGGGAGTGGGGGAGGATAGTTGTGTTTTATGTTGCACCAACACAAGTAGAGGTCATATGGCAACTTTCAAGTTTTACTGGTGGAGGAAGATCTCGTGTGCCCTACCATGCATTATTTCAGGCACTAAGGGGCACCCAAGTAGAACTACCAATATTCTGTAAGCAAACCCCTCTATTCTTTTTCTAACAGATTTTTTTTCATTAATTCTTATATTTCTGGTAAATGCGCGAAATTTTGTGATTTTGTCACAAAGAAAATTTTCGTAGGTTCTAAAATTTGTTGACTGTCTATTTTTCCAAAAGGTAACATGTAAATAATGTGATGCAAAATAATCTTACAGCAGACAAAATAAAATTTCTTTAGATCTTAGCTTCTTGGATTGACCTATCCACGAAAACCACAAAAATGAGTTCCATGATTTTTCAGTACAGTAAATAATTAAAGAAAAAAACAAAGCAGAACCCTATTTGAACATGAACAAATAACAAAAAAAAAAATATTTACACAACATATGGCACAAACTGCAAAAATGTTTAAACATAGAAACTACCGCAGTGATCCTGACGATATCAAAATCTGAAATTCACATTTTGAGAACCTGTTTGAAAATCGAGTAATCTGATTGGTGGACAATTCTATGAATGACCAATGATATAAATGGAGTCAAAGTGAGGCTGATATCCTGTATCATTATATTTACTTAAACCTAGATATTATATTGTACCTTTATATTATAGGATATCTGGACCATGCATTTGACTTGCTTGTTTTTTACTAGGCCAGGATCACAATTCTAATAAAATCCTTGAAAGTTAAAAAAATGGAAAATAATCCTTGAAAGCCAATTAAATGGAAAATAAATCATCAAAAACGAAATAAATGTAAACTAAATACTTAAAAGCCAAAATAAATGGAAACTATATCATTGAAAGCCAAATAAATGGAAAATAAATCCTTGAAAGCCAAATAAATGAAAAAGAAGTCCTTGAAAGCCAAATAAATGGAAAAGAAGTCTTTGAAAGTCAAATAACTGGAAAATAAATCATTGAAAGCCAAATAAATGGAAAATAAATCTTTGAAAGCCAAAATAAATGGAAAAGAAATCCTTAAAAGCCAAATAAACGGAAAATAAATCATTGAAAGCTTTAAATAAATCCTTGAAAGCCAAATATATGGGAAAAGGGAATAAATCCTTGAAAGCCAATCAATGGAAAAAAGTACAACCTGTGCAGAACAACAACCTTTGGGAGACACAGATTAAGATGTTACTGAAATATGTTGCTCTAGTGGGTTTAAATTTAATGTGAAATCTCACTTCGAGAAGATCTGTTATTGTTGTTGTAGAGGTAATTGGTCTACAGAGGCGCCACTCATCAGAGGTTTCACTGTATATCCAAGTACTCTTATTATCTTGAATTAAAACTATACTTTCAGCAAGAACATAACATTACATCAGCAATGATATTCTGGATAATACTTGTAGCTATATATAACATAGAATTTAATTCAAAACTTTAAATATTTTCAGTGGTAGCTTACCTTCTCATTAAAAAGTTATGGAAAACAATTTACAGACTTATTAAGTTGTGAAGACAGTCTACTTTTCAAGAACACACAGTTTCATTTCATGAACACATGCTTCAGGAGGTAGAGTGATGTCAAATATATGCCTTTTCATCAACATATATGAGCCATGCCATGACAAAACCAACATAATGCGTTTGCGATCAGCATGGATCCAGACCAGCCTGCGCATCCGCGCAATCTGATCAGGATCCATGCTGTTCGCTTACAAACCCTATAACAAGTAGAGAAACTGATAGCAAACAGCATGGATCCTGATCAGACTGCCTGGATGTGCAGGCTGGTCTGGATCCATGCTTGTCGAAAACGCACTATGTTGGTTTTGTCATGGCGCGGCTCAATTATATGTAACTTAGCATAGATGTGTGTAGGACTAAGCACACTTGCAAATACCAATACAGTTATACCTCATTTTTTGTACTCTCCATAATCTCCTGAAATGAACTTATCCTTCCAAAATTTTGAACAGATTAATTTTTTAATATAGGTAAAATTTATTAATGATAAAAATACTGGACAACCTAAAATCTGGTTAAACAAAATTTGCATAACACCCGGGGCGAGCCCCTGTACCGGTATAAAAGCATGGAAAAATGTTTTTTCCCCTTTTTTTAATTTTTTCTAAAAAGGATTTTTTTAAAAAATTTTTATTAAAAAAAAACATACCCTCTCCTAAAGTTCATCCCCAAAAAATTTATGGTCTACAAAAAGAATGCAGTAAAATTCCCTAAATGAAAATTGGGGATATGATGTGAATGATATAAACAGGGTTTGGGAAATAATTAAAAAACGCCCTTTAAAGGCTTCATACACAGGGACTTTCAATAAGAATCCCTTTTTTTTAAGCTCAAAAAAAATCAAAAAAATTACAAAAAGATACAGGGGAAAGGGAAAAAAAATAAATTTTTAAAGCCGGGGTTTTCCAATAAAAAAACCCCAAAAACAAAAAAGGGGGTTTTTTCCCCGACCAGCATGGATCCAGACCAGCCTGCCCATCCGCGCAGTCTGATCAGGATCCATGCTGTTCGTTATCAGTTTCTCTACTTGTAATAGACTTGGTAAGCGAACAGCACGGATCCTGATCAGGCTGGTCTGGATCCATGCTGGTCCCAAACCCATTATGTTGGTTTTGTCATGATGTGGCTCACAATTTTATCATTTTATAACATTATTGCTTGGAACAACTTTTAAACGTACGCTATGATTAGATATAAATTTATATCTATATTTATTGTATATAAGCCGCAGAACACATATGTAAGCCGCGGAAAACTATTTCGTGCCATTGGTTATTTTACTGGCTAGTTTATTTTGTGTTGCTTCGAATGAGGTCTGATTGAACGTCTCCAGCATTTGTTTCCGTACATTCTCCGAGAGATCTGTAACATCGTTTGAAGTCATTCCACGTGTGCTAATACTCGGCATACATGTGATTATAAATTTCCCTACAACAGTGAGAATAATATATTTGGTTTATACAGAATTTTTTTGAGTTTGATTGTGTGAAGAAGCTTTAAGGTTATGGACACACTTTCGAATCAGTTCCTGGAACCAACCAGTACTGAGCAAGAAGTGTAAATTTCTTGCTCAAGTAAACAACAACTTGCCCCTGATGGGGTTTGAACGCATGCGGCTAGTGATCATTAGATTACTACTCTCATGCGTTAACCACTCGGCCATGCCGCCACAAAATAATATAGTTTGATTATTTATTGTCAGGGTATTATAATTAATCAACACATAAAGTCTCAAATAAGATTAAAGCAGCACACTTCAAGATTCATGCTAATTTTAGTGAAAATTTTGAAAATGTATTCAAAAGTAAAATATTATGAAGTGAACATAGAAAGTTGTTTACATATTGCAAGTAACACTTATAATCTATGTAAATTACCAAAAAAGAGGTAAAAATATGCAAAACAAGAGCTGTCACCCAAGTGACGAATGCCCCCTTAAAGGTTTCTTAAGCATGCAGGTATTATGAAATGAAAAGAGAGTGAAAGTAACAAATTGCTTAATATTGTTTTTTGTATTATTGTTCCTGTAATCTCTAATTGTGATAGTCCAACCTTCAAAATAGAAGAGTGACCTTGACCTTTGAAAACAGGACGTGGTTCCTTGATGTGACAGAATGTTGTTATGAGATAGACATTTGTGCCAAGTTATTTCAAAATCCCTCACTGCATGACAAAGTTACAGTCTGGACATGATTGTTGAGTAAGTGGGGACACACATGGACGGACGGAGAGACATGAGCCTTAGCCGCGACACATTGTCTTGATGTGGTAGTCATTTGTGCCAAATTATTTTAAAAATCCTTCCATGCATGACAAAGTTACAGTCCGGACATGAATGTGTCTCTTCAAACTCTTCTCGAGAGAATGAGTACCTTCAAACTATAGGTGTGACCTTAACCTTGAAGGTAGGGACATGGGTATTTGTCGTGACATGTCATCTTGATATGGTAGACATTTATGCCTATTTTTTTTTTAAATCCTTCTATGCATGACAAAGTTACAGTACAGACACGAATGTGTGTACCTATAAAGTTAACTCTCATTGTGATAAAGTGAACTTCAAAATGTTAGTGTGAACTCTATTGTTCCCTTTTGTTCTGTTTACAGGTAGATGGCCCCTTATCCCTATTCGGTAGTGCAGACAGACAGATGGACGGACGTACCAATTTTTCAGGTTTATGAGCTATTTCTATTGTTCTTTTCTTTTGTTTCCTTGTGGGCTTACTATTGTTTCCTTATGAGCTAACTATTATTTACGGAATGAAGTCCTTTGTTCTCTTTTGTCCCAGTGTACCGTTAGTTAGCTCATATACCTAAAATGTTTGTGCGGACAGACAGACGGATGGTGCGATTTTACTATGCCTCCCTTTGGTGGCATAAAAACAGCCATTACTGCCTTAGTCACATAGTAGAATTATAGTGATAAATACTGCAAGATCGGTGAATAAATGAAAATGTAAATGTAATGTCACTTCATAGTATTATACTTCTAAATACTTAAAATGTTCATGAAAATTAGCATGAATCTGGAGGCATGCTGCTTCAAATCAGCTTGTTCATCATTTAATATGGACCAAACCTTTCATCAGTTTTAAAGAAATGTTAATGTTATAACAAGGTCTTTTGTTTCTTATGACAGTTAAATGAAAAAAATTTAAGCCTAGGACATTTCTATGATTGTTAACAGCTCTTATGAAAATGAAGAGGAATTTTATAGTACCTGTAGTAAATTTTTTGTCCTTTTTATTGTAGAACTCAGAAAATGAAGAGAATACAACGGGCACAATTGGAATCTGAAACAGATGATACATAATTATCATAAGATACATATACAATTATCATTGAAATACACATATACATACCATGAAATACAATAATCGTTTCATCCTTCTCTGTTGGTTTTTGTTTAATTTGGTTTTTTACAAAAAATTTCACCCATTTTTTGTCATACCTCAGCAGTAAATTCACATAACCAGCTTTCCTTGATAATTCAGTCCGTTCATTTTTTCCGCATTTTATACATGCAGTAAATATAAGTATAAGTATGTAGATGTAATAACAAACTGGTAAAAACCTACCTGAGCCTGAACAGCTATATGAAAAGCCCCTTTCTTAAATGGCATCATACTTCCATCGTGATTTCTTGTACCTTCCGGAAATACCAGTAATTTTATCTGAAATATTACCATGATTTGTTAGAATAACAACGCTGATAAATTATTTATTAAAATGTTAAAAATGTCGAAACATGACCATTTTTTATCCATGATAATGGCATGAAAGTTTTTGTAATTATTGATTTGTCAAAATAGACTTGAAAATTCTTTTTCTATTACTGCCTGTAATAACTGTTTGGTTGTTCATTTTGTACAATGCTATATCCTTTTTCTTATTTAATCATCTTAAAACTAAATTTTTTCAAATCATAATTATCTGTAGTATAAAATATGTTATCCTGCCACTTGTATCAATTTCGGCCCGGTAAAAAGGTGCCGTGTATTTTTCGGCTCACCCAATAAATTCCTCCGCCTCGCCAGATAAACTTTCTCCATCCACAGTACCAACCTATTATTCTCTATTCGTCTCTATTTAATAAGCTTTCATATAACAACAAGAATGCACTTCAACTAACTAACACTTTTATACTCAATCACTTGTGAAACAGGCCAGATGGCTATTATGGCCTTATATCACCATTACGTCACTGGTTCAAAAGAATAATTAATAAATTTGCTAACTATACATGCACAATCATTCACAAAACTTTTTTTTTTGGTTTTAGGGTGCACCAACATAATTTAGGTCATATGACGCAAAAACAGGAAAGATGATTTTGGCTAACCTTAGGTGTTACAAACTTAAAGCAACACCAGGGGTCAAAACCATCTTACCTGCTGGAGCTAATAGATGCATAGACTTCTGTTATTCAAACCAATTTATTCGCCTCTTACGATCACGGAGGGATGAATGGTGGCTGCAATTTTGATGCCTCAACCCTTAAAGGTAATCCCTCAGCCACAAATAACACTACATGTAACTTGAATAAAGATCATTTATACAATAACATACTTGTAGAAATTTTATCATTTACTTTACTTTACCAAAGGCTACATATTTTAAGCCACTATGAAACTGTAAATGATTTTTTACCCTTGACTTGCTGAATTTGTCTAATCAACTTGCCCAACTGCAAATCCTAGAATTTTCCATTTAAATTTTAAAGGGGATTCATTAAAAAACAAAAATTTTACAAAAATACACCCACAAACAGTATAGAGCCTAGACTGCATGTACTGGTATAGTGTACTGTATGTGCAGGCTGGCCTGGCTCTATACTGGTGGCAAAGGTTTATTATTTCAGCAGAATAAAGCTTAATAACAGTTAACTTCTCTTGGTTTTCTACTTTTATCAAAAATTCTTGAATTTATGGAGAAAAAAATAACCAAGCTCCTCATGCAAAATGTAGTAAAAAAATTCTATATAAATACAGAATGCTATATAAATTAGAACTCCGCGAGTCGGATGTGTCGTCTTGTGAACAATATAGTTTAAGAGAAATGGCCAGGACAAAAATGAAATTTGAAAATCAACAAAGGGCAATAACTCAAAAAATAAGAAATGCAGATCAGCAGTTTCTGTGCACTGCACTTCTTATCAATAAGATCTATCATCCTATTAAGTTTCAAGTCTAAAGCTTTTATAATTTATGAGAAATGGCCTGGACAAAAATAAAGTATGAAAATTAACAAGAGCGATCAGTAATCACATGTGTCGCCTCATGATGGCCAATTTCATGTTTGGACAAATTTTGTGACAGACGGACAGACAGACAGACAGTGCACAACTAGACTTGGTACTGATCATTCCTGTAAAGTTTGGATAAAATTGCACCAGTAGTTTATGAGGAGTAGTCCGGACAAGCTTTTGTGTATCTGGCAACACAAAGAAAAAAACACCTTTTTATCAAAGGGCCATAACTCGGCCAAAAATCATTCAACCGGAAAACCCGTGCAATATGCGCAAAGCTTGAGCTACAGATCAATCCTGTAAAGTTTCATTGAAATTGCATTAGTGGTATATGAGAAGTAGTCCGGACAAACTTTAAAATTAAAAATTATTAAAGGGCCATAACTCTGACAAAAATCATTGAACCGGAAAATGCTGACAATATGCACAACTAGACTTGGTACTGATCATTCCTGTAAAGTTTGGATGAAATTGCACCAGTAGTTTATGAGGAGTAGTCTGGACAAGCTTTTGTGTATCTGGCAACACACAGAAAAAAACACCTTTTTGTCAAAGGGCCATAACTCGGCCAAAAATCATTCAACCGGAAAACCCGTGCAATATGCGCAAGGACTTGAGCTACAGATCAATCCTGTAAAGTTTCATTGAAATTGCATAAGTGGTATAAGAGAAGTAGTCCGGACAAACTTTAAAATTAAAAATTATTAAAGGGCCATAACTCTGACAAAAATCATTGAACCAGAAAATGCTGACAATATGCACAACTAGACTTGGTACTGATCATTCCTGTAAAGTTTGGATGAAATTGCACCAGTAGTTTATGAGCAGTAATCCGGACAAGTTTTGTGACGGACGGACGGACAGACGGACGACGGAGAAGTGATCCCTATATGTCGCCACTACTCCGTAGAGGCGACACAACAAAGGGCAATAACTCTAAAAATAAGAAATGCAGAGTACCAGTTCTTGGGCACTGCACTTCTTATCAATAAGATCTATCATCCTATTAAGTTTCAAGTCTAAAGCTTTTATAATTTATGAGAAATGGCCTGGACAAAAATAAAGTATGAAAATTAACAAAGGGCAATAACTCAAAAAATATGAAATGCAGAGTACCAGTTCTTGGGCACTGCACTTCTTCTTAATGAGATCTATCATCCTATTAGGTTTCAGGTCTATAGCTTTAATACTTTAGGAGAAATGGCCTGGACAAAAATAAAGTATGAAAATAAACAAAGGGCAATAACTCAAAAAATAAGAAGTGCAGAGTACCGGTTCTTGTGCACTGCACTTCGAGTCATTATAAGAAGCATGCATACCAAGTTTGAAGTCAATCCGACTTATAATGACTGACTTATGCTCCGGACAAGCTTCAGGAGACTCCGACAAAGACGCCGACAACGACAACAACTATATCATATATACATGTACATTGGTATATATATATGTGTGTGAATATATGAACTAAAATAAGCAGGAAGTTTAACTGAATATTTACAGTATTTCAGTACAAGCATTGTCAATATATCATACAATATAAGTTATTTAAAATTATTCATTTCTTAAAAAAACATTTTTAATCTGAACGTCCAGTGTAGCGGATAAATAAGCCATTTAACATGAGGATTTGTTTAACTTCCACAGATAACGGTTTTTTGATATTAATTCTTCTAATGCCTATGTAAAAACCAGTTTGATTGCATGGCTAAAAATAGCTTTCTCTGGAAATAAGACATATAAAGAAGGCAAAACATATACTGTGGTCATCAGATCTACAGGAAATAAATATGTAGATCTAAACTTTAGTCAGACTGTACAATACAAGTAGCTAAAGCAATATTTTCCACAGTCGTGACAGCACTGATCTGGACAAATGATTTTTAATTTCACGCCATCAGTGCGGCATTGTCTTACGTACAAATATATGCTGCCGAAAATGCTCAATGTATACAATATATTGTTGTAACTTACATTTCTCTCTAAAATATCACCAACAGTTTTATTCATAGTGTCCAGAGCTTTTTCCTTGTTCAAACGATTTATAAACACGGTTCCACATAATAGAGCAGCTAGTCCAAACGGCCCTGCGTATTTTAGCTCATTCTTTACTAAGCAGCAGCATCTTTTGGGCCAAATCTGTGTCATACCTTACAGAGAATATAGAAAGTTGGCATGCAAAATTATTAGCGTAACTAAAAGGAACAAGCTAATTCAAATAATTCAAAGTACCTTGGAAATCTTTTCAAATCTAAGCTTTTCCCAAACATTGTCAATTATTATTTACCTTTGGTCCAAACACATATTTACCAACTGACAAATATTTAGTTTTGACTTCCATAACTTTATATGTCGCTTGTATTTTGACCTTGTGTGACAGGTCTAGCAGTACTATAAAACCTGTTGACTGCAGTCTCCTTACATGTAGCTAACAAATATTAAAAATTCCCATAGTGAACAGATCCCAATCTGCTACCAAAAGGAGAGGAAAAAAACCATAACTGTACTTTCAAATAGACCTTTAGACACTCAAATAATTATATAGTTTTGGAAATAAAACATATTATGATTTAATAAATTAGATCAAAAAAGGTTTCCAAGGTAACAAATTAACAGAATCTTAACAGCAAACACTGAAAAAGACCATATTCTGCTGGCAATTTTTTTTTATTAACTATTTTAGTATTTAGTTTCTTATTTTGTGTGTGTTTTAATGGGCATTAAGACACAGTGACGTCTGACATTGTTAAGGTCACTTGACAGCATGACATTTAATTAGCTTAATTACCTTAAAGTTCCCCCTCCAGTGATTTTCCTTATTAAATAACAGACTCCTATAAAAGGCCTCTGCAGTTGTTCCAAAAAATTTGAACATATACCGGCTTTTTATTTCCCAAATAAGCAATTGTAGCAATAATTTTTCCCAAAATCGAGAGGCTAAGGCCTCTTCCCAAGTAAGTGAGAAAAAAACACTGCCCTCTGTTCATTATTTCAGGTACAAGTAGGAACCTGAGTAATATAGTGAATTTCCTTACAAATGTAGCCGGGTTTCATTAACTTATTATTTCTATAGGATTTGTCTTCTTACTATTGTTGTTAAGATTCTGTCTTATTGTATATTGCAAAACTTTATAATCAAAATAGAAAATGATTCACACTTGAGGAGGGACATTTAGTGAAATTATAATGAGGGTAAATAAACATTTGGCAGGAGTTTCTAAATTTAATGGCGTACCACCAACATGGCCATAATGTCAAACCTGGCAAAAGACAATTTGAATAAAATAATTTCCCAATTTTAGATACTTTTTGTAAAAGAATAATAAAGACAAAAAAAAAAAACTTAGTAAACCTTGTCTTATATTATAAAAAAATCATCCATCTTATTCAAATGGGTTCTCTTTTGCTGTGATCATTTGATTGTTAAAACCACCAAAAAAAACACCATAAAAAAAACAAATAACCTGTTTTAATGAAGAAAGGGTCTGGCCACCTAGCAAATTGTCTGGTGAAAGTTTAGCAAAATCTGAATGCAACTACAGGTTAGATGCAATCAAGTTTAATAGATACATAAAGGTCTATACAACTTGCAATACATTAAAACCATGCCCGGCGACCCACTTACAATTCCTATCTGTAATAACCTTTTGGCGTTGTTTGCATTTGTAGACAAGGGGCCTTTTCATGGTTCAGTCGGTCTATAAACACGGAACCACATAGAGCGGCGGCAAGACCGAATGGCCCTGCATATTGCAGATTTTTCTTCATAAGAGCACATCCTCTATGGGGCCATATTGCAAACATTCCTGAGCAGTAAATCAGGAATCATTTAATTAAATTATCGATCACTTTGAAATACAACTTTGAAATAAAACATATATGTATGGTAAAAGGAGATCAATGGTTCCTTTATCAAGTGATGGAATATAGTTAATTATGTAAAGTAGAAGCCTAGTATTGAATCACACACTTTCAACAGCTTTCACAGCTTAACTGTTGGAGGAAGACAGCAGGTATCTGTGCATTATTATTTAGAGCAGAACCACCAACCTTCCGGAAGCTAGCTAGATAATGAGTCTCCCACATGAAAAAATCCTTGTATCAGGTGCCAGTAGGTTTATTTGTTTTGGGTTTTACGTCACATCGACACAGTATAGGTCATATCGCGACGTTCCAGCTTTACTGGTGGAGGAAGACCTCAGGTGCCCTTTCGTGCATTATTTCAGGCACGAACGGGCACCTGAGTAGAACCACCGACGTTCCGTAAGCTAGCTGGATAGCTTCCTCACATGAAAGAATCCTAAGTCCCTGTAGGGATTCGAACCCACAGCGGTGAGGGGCAAGTGGTTTGAAGTCAACGACCTTAACCACTCGGCCACGGACACCCCCTGCTATTAGGAGAGAGTGACCTACCCTCATTACCTACCCAGCAATGTTCGCTGTTAAGTAAAAGCTTGACTCTGTAGCATATAGTAATGATATTGGAAGGTGAAATAAACTGCACTGAGTTTGCTTTCTAATATGACCCAGTAAACCTATAGCGCAGTCAGTACTCAAGAATTTGGTAAACAGGTCAATAACATATGATCATTCCATCAACTGTTCATTTCAAGGCCATGAATTTGAAGACAATATAGAATGATAAAAGAACTGACAAATCTGTAAATATATGCTAGAATCAAATTCTTACTTTAAGGGGCTGAATAAATTTTTTTTTTAATATAATATCATGTCAGTGGTTCCTAGAGGCATTCAAAACTTTTAAAACTTCCCAATTTAAATCTAAATACATGTATACAAAAACCTTTTCCTTACCAAACTAAACTTTTAGGCATATATGGCTTTTTATGATATTTGCATTGAAAGCTGAAAAGAATTGAATCTTTTTAAAAGTCAAGTTTGTAAAACTTTTCCCAAATATATTGAAGTGTACAATGCTAAAATTTCCCAATTTAAATGACATGATTGTGTTAACACAAAACAAGGTAAAAACAAACATGTAAATACCAATACAATCAAGGGAGCTCTGGTGATTGATAACTAGTATAAATGGTTTCTCCGACTTCAGGTTTTCTTCTCCCCTAATCTCCACCTCTATACCAAATAAATTCTTCACATGATTCATCGCCCATAAAATGAACCTACAAAACAATTAAATTCTTAGAGGCATATAATGATATAATGTGACCTCAAATGAAGTTTGGCACTCAGTCTCTCAACTCATATATAGTATATAATTTCATGTCTGTAAAAATGTATATGCAGATTATGCTTAAATATTTATTTTATTCCCTTTGATGCATAGTATTTAATTAGCATACAATATATTGTTTGGTTTTATTAACCTGTCAATTCCATACTAATTAAACGGTCAATGCACACAATATATTAATCTTCGAAAGATTTTCGGTAATTTCCGTGAGATGTACTCAGTGAGATTTGATTAAATATAATTTGTGCCTATGGAGCAATTATACTGAGTGGTATAGCGAAATAGGGTAAGCTACAGGTTAATGATTTCTAAGTGTCCTACGTGTTGTGAGATCGAGACCGCGTACCTCCAATGTTTTTTGGTTTTTTTTCTTCTTCTTATAACTATTTTCAACATTATCGGAACTTTAATTGCTTGTTATGTTGTTCGTTTTGATTTAATATGTTTAGCAATTAAACTCCTTTTAAATAACATGCTTTCATAATTAAAATTTATAATGAATTCGGATTAAAATTAGAAAATGTCGTTTCAATGGTGTTAAACACAATACAAATTGAGACAATATTTCTTAGTTGATTCATATATGTGTAGACAATATTGGAAGCACTCTGCCATTTTCATGAAAATATACTGCAAAAATAAACAAGAGGGCCATGATGGCCCTGAAGTCGCTCATCTGTATATAGCCCCCCCCCCACCCCCCGGCCAATTTTTACCCAAGGGCTTTTATTTGAAACCATAAGAAGATGTTTCATGCTAAACATCTAAGTTCTAGCTCATTGGGTTTTTTAAAAGAAGATTTTTAAAGTTTTTTACCATACACATATAGTTAAAAAAATGACACCCCTGGGGCAGGGCCAGTTTTGACCCCGGGCTTTTATTTGAACAAACTTTGTAGATATTTACTTAAAGATGTTTCATGCTTAATATCTAAACTCTAGCTATTTGAGTTTTTCAAAGAAGATTTTTAAGTCTTTGCTATACACATATAAGGAAAATCAATGACCCCCCCCCCGGGGTGGGGCCAGTTTTGACCCCAGGGCTTTTATTTGAACATACTTGGTAGACACCCATTAGAAACATGTTTCATGCTAAATATCTTAGCTTCTAGCTCTTTGAGTTCTTTAAAAGAAGAATTTTTTAAGTTTTTACTTATATGCATATAGGAAAATCAATGACCCCCTGGGGCGGGGCCAATTTTGACCCCAGGCTTTAATTTGAACAAAACTTGGTAGACACCTATTAGAAGATGTTCATGCTAAAATATCTTAGCTCTAGCTCTTTGGTTCTTTAAAAGAAGATTTTTTAAGTTTTTACTATATGCATATAGGGAAAATCTATGACCCCCTGGGGCGGGATCAATTTTGACCCCAGGGCTTTTATTTGAACAAACTTGGTAGACATTCACTAGAAGATGTTTCATGCCAAATATCTAAGCTCTAGCTCTTATGGTTCTTTAAAAAGAAGATTTTTTTAAGATTTTAGTATATGCATATAGGGAAAATCAATGACCCCCCGGGGGGGGCCAATTTGACCCAGGGCTTTAATTTGACAAACTTGGTAGACACTCACTAGAAGATGTTTCATGCTTAATATCTTAGCTCTAGCTCTTTGGGTTCTTTAAAAAGAAGATTTTTTAATTATTACTATATGCATATAGGGGAAATCAATGACCCCCTGGGGGCGGGGCCAATTTGACCCAGAGCTTTTATTTGAACAAACTTGGTAGACATTCACTAGAAGATGTTCATGCTTAATATATCTTAAGCTCTATTTGAGTGTCTGTCGAAAGTATATGATTGTAATATTTCTAAATATTACATATTATACATTCAATTTTCTACCTATGCATGTCCTTGTTGTTGTTGTTGTTGTTTTCTATTTTCAGAAGGCCACATTGGAAATAAGATATATATGATTGTTATTGTATGTTCTTAATGTGTAACCTTCTTTTAATAAAGATATTATTATTATTATTATTATTATTATTATTATAGCTCTTACGGTTCTTTAAAAGAAGATTTTTAAGTTTTTACTATATGCATATAGGGAAAATCAATGACCCCTGGCGGGGCCAATTTTGACCCCAGGGCTTTTATTTGAACAAACTTGGTAGACACTCACTAGAAGATGTTTCATGCCAAATATTCTTAGCTCTAGCTCTTTGGGTTCTTTAAAAGAAGATTTTTTTAAGTTTTTACTATATGCAATAGAGGGAAAATCAATGACCCCCTGGGGCGGGCCATTTTTGACCCAGGGCTTTTATTTGAACACAAACTTGGTAGACACTCACTAGAAGATGTTTCATGCCAAATATCTAAGCTCTAGCTCTTAGGGTTGTTTAAAAGAAGATATTTAAAGATTTTTTCTTTTGGTTGCCATGGCAACCAGAGTTCTGCATGGAATTAAATTGCTTTGAACAATTTTTAAAGGTGACCACCAAAGGAACATTCCTGTGAAGTTTGGATGAAATTGGCTCAGTGGTTTATGAGGAGATGTCATTTAAACCAAAGTTTACGGACGGACGCCGGACGACAGACGGACGGACGCCGGACGAAAAGTGATCACAAAAAGCTCACCCTGTCACTTTGTGACAGGTGAGCTAAAAAAAAGAGTAGGCCTTAAAACAACGGAAAAAGTAGGGATCGAACTACAGACCCCCAGTATATTAGACAATCACTCTACCGTCTGTGCTATCGGGATTTGACAAGGCCTATGCATTGAGCTGGTGTGACTTTTCAAAACATTAATTTTTTACTCCATATTAATTCTCGTAAACTACACGGACAGAACCGAAGTGAAATCGAATATTAAAATGAGTGCTATAATGTATTCAAAATTGACAGGTCAATAAAATCAGACTATAATGTTAATGTGTTTGTTAATAAGATATAATAATGTTATATAAGAATATTAACTTATAGTTTTTAAAGCTATATATAAAATTAGAAATTTCACATTAACCAAGATAATAAATTTAGTTGCTCTATCAATTTTCCTTTGTTTAAATTTATTGGTATCGAAATTTTACGAGAGTGGCTACTGTATGGTCGTATTTTAGTAAAAGTTCTACCTACCCGATCACATACGCTTATGCCGACACATTTCAAAATTATGAACCAAATTGCATAATTTATATTTTGTTGATCTTTGAACGGGATTTTAACAAAAAAACCTCATTTGTCCTTAAATGTTTACTTTAATAAAGATTCTCCGCCATTTTGTAAACAAGAGGGCCAAGATGGCCCTAGATCGCTCACCTGACCCATCAAACTCATCCGAGCAATTACCTACAAAAGCATCCTGACCAGGTTTCATGACAGTTGAGTCAAAAATGTGTCCACTAGAGTGTTAACAAGGTTTTCCCATATTTGAGCAGTGTGACCTAGTTTTTGACCCAAAGCGACTAATATTCAAATTTGACTTAGAAATCATAAAAAACAATCTTTCATACCAATTTCCAGGATATTTGGATCAAAACAGTAGCCACTACAGTGTTAACAAGATTTTTCTACATTTAGCTCCTGTGACCTAGTTTTTCATCAGAGATGACCCATGTTTAAACTCATCCGAGCAATTACCCAGACAAGCATCCTGGCCATGTTTGATGACAATTGAGTCAAAAATGTGACAACTAGAGTGTTAACGAACAAATCTGGACAGACGACAGACATTGAATTTCAAATATCCTAAAAGCTCACCATGAGTAAGCTCAGGTGAGCTAACAAAAGAAAAGGAAGGAAAATGTTATCATGATAAAAGTGTCAAAGTTACATGACACATGATAAGAAGTACATTATATATCGTGTATGTGTAGGCAAAGTTATTTATGATTTAATAATAAATAGTTTAAGTTAGAACGTCATTGTTTTTTATGCTTTTGATTTGTTGTTTTATTTGTATGAAAGAATTATTTTTAATCATAAAAATTAAGCACATGGAATAAATAATCATAATGGCTAAAGTAGCTTGTTATCGTCGATTTCAAGAATAAACGCATTCTCACTTGAACCCTGGCATTGTGTGTTTAGATGTATAATTGTATTTTTAAATAGATAAATATCGATCATAGAGCTAAATATATGTATATCTGTAATAAATATTGAACATAAAAGCATCATCAATTAGCCTAAATTAAAGCCTATACAGGGATTGACAATAGAATTTTTGAATGCCTTTAACAGAACATGCAAACTTTCCTAAATGATGGACAAACTTCTACTGTTAGTAATTGACGCAATTATCTGAGCAAAACAACAATTATTTTTTGCGCTTTTTTTTTGTTGAAAATTAAATTTATTGAAACAAAAAAAACGTTATAATAATAATTATGTAAACGATTTCAATTGATGTTAATCAACTAAACACTCTTTTTTTCTTGCCATCTGGTGATGACTAAAATCAATATTCGTACTTTCTTTTTTTTAAAAACAACATGGCGATTAATCTCTAAAAAGTAAACACACAAAGACAATTGCCAGGGCCAAAAAGCCCTTCTTTGTAGAGGCCGAATATAGGCTGCTTCCCCAACCAAACTAGCCTCTTTTTTCCCCCAGTTTGGTCCTCAAAATTCCCCAGTCTTTTGACATTTCCCATAGAATTAAGAATAAAGTTAAATAATGGTGTTGAATTAAGGTCTTTTACTGCCTTATTTGTATTTCCCAGTGTTTTTTTGCTTTTCTATTTTGAAGACCTTGTTAAAAGTTTGTGTTAATTTTGAGACCCCTTTTCCCAAAGTATGCCAAAATCATGCATATTTTCCCCAAGAAAAAGGCTGAGGCCCCTTCCCCAAAAATGGTGTTTTGGCCCTGATTGCTGTTTCTTGGTTAAAATCATACATGCCATAATTTTTACACTCATTTCTGGGACACTTTTCATTTGGAGGAGGGGCATTGATCAGCAAAAGTTTCTTTTTTGAAATTTACATAGTGGCATACAACCTGTACTGTATTACCGGTATTTACAACTTGCAAATTTAATGACACCATAAACAAAAAACAGAATGTCAATAATTATTAACAGTTTTTCTATCTTTTTTAAGTATTTAGGCATTGTTAATTCAATCAGTCACAGAATAGAATAAAACTATGTTAAGTAATGACAATTAGCCATGTTGTTTACCTGAAACATTCCCTGAATCTTGTAGATTTTATCACCTCAAATTTAGCGGTAATTTTCATGGTGTTTGATCACTAATTGCCTGCAGGCGGATTAAATTCATACTGGCCAGTTGTTAATTACAGTGTATGACACCTTCGCTCAGGAAGCCACATGGGGCAAACAATTAATCTTTTAATTGATCAAAATATTGCCGATAATTGTTTGTTGGAAGGGGCACGTAGATATACCAATCAAAGGATTAGTGTCACCATCGCAATGCTGTTAGGGGATTATCGTTTGTTATTAGCGTTTGCTGTTAGGGGATTATCGTACGTTATTAGCGTTCTAGACTAGTTAATAAACTTGACAATAAAATTATATAAAAATGTAAAATTTCTTGCATCAAAGTAGATTATTTTAGATTTTCTTTTTACCGGGACATAAATCATCTCCGGGACACCTGCGGGACAGACACCTTATTTCCGGGACTGTCCCGGGCATCCGGGACGTTATGGCATGTATGTTAAAATCCTCGTTTAAAGACATAAAATAGCATATGCATTTTGGACTTTTACGGCTAGCCACTTTCAATTTATAGCCCTCGTAAAGCGAACTTTACAGTAACACGAGTACTTGTTAGATAATGATAGTAATGGTTTACGATAACGAACATTTTCCCTGGAAGTACTGCAAAATTATGGGAAATTGACACATCGTAACTTTTTGAATTACAAGACAACGATAAAAGCCGAGGAATTCTGATTGAAAACAGATGCGTAGACTGGTCTTCTGCGCACTTCTATTGGAACCATTATACTTAAAAGGACAGGGAACCAGAATAAACTGAAACAGTGAATTAAATACCGAATGGCAGTTTTAAAATGGAAAATATGGTGTTGAGTGAATTGTTCAGCCCACCAATTCCAATTGTATTGAAAACATAAAATGTGTTAAATTATAATGTACTATAACTTCTGTCAAAGAGCTCACTTTGAGGCTTTGCCTTATTCATATTAACTTAATGATATGAAAACATTTTTTAATGATCAACTTCTTGAAGTTTGCATTAAAAATAATTATATCAAAATATTATTTTGAATAAATCTAAGATAAACACATTAGTACTGCTTCAAAGACATTTTTGTTCATTTACGCAGTATTTGTAAACTGTTAACGGAAATTATACCAATGGTTGTTGACATCACCAGGTCGAAGCCAGGCATAGGTGCATACCACCGTCGCTATCCCGAAAATACATGCATAGTACAACGCAAATTTAGCGTGGTATCTAAAAGTTCCGCTCAATTCGTATAAAATCGGCAAAACAAGGAGAAAACCTATAATAAACCAGTGAAATAATTCAAGAGCCATGTTGGCCAAAGTCCTTTTTCATCTGGGTAAACGGACGCTTCTTAATATTAACGGTTGCAATCGCCCACTTGATCAAGATGTTACAAATGGTACTGAATAGTTCTGATGCTACCAACACGGTGAATAGATTTGTCTAACTTTCAAACAGATATCGCTCTTTTAAAGTTAAATCCATTTAACTGTGTTATAAATTTTAAAAAATCATCAAAATCCGTGCAATGAGTTATTGCGTTTAAAGCAGCACGCCTCCAGATTCATGTCTTTTTTTATGAAAATTTTGAAAATGTGTTTTAGAGAATTATTTAGTGAAATAACCAAAAAGAAGCAATTTAAACATTATCAATGGCACTTTACAACCCACGTAAATTACTAAAAAGAGGACAAAATATGCAAAAATAGCCCTTACTGCGTTAGTAACGCAGTAGAAATATAGTTATAAATACCACGGATGTAATATAAATCTGTGTAAATACTAAAATCTCAAGTCAATAATCGCACATAACATGTAAATTATTACTTGAATCTTGAATAGTTTTACTTTTCCTAATATCTTAGTACATTTTTCTCAAGTTTGATTTTATTGAAATATTTTCGCTCATCTGGAGGCATGCAGCTTTAAAATGCATTATATGTATCTGTTCTGCTGGGCCATGACTAATGCAGACCAAGATCGGCTAAACATCCGTACCGCCTGATCATTGTATGCTCTGTTCGCTATTTAGTCAGTACTTATTTTGATTTTTTTTCTTTAAAACACTTTTTTAAATGGTGACTGATTTTTCACAGATTGAAAGATGGACAAGTCTACTAATGGTAAGGCTTTATTTTAACCGGTCGTTCTGTAAACCAATATACAGTTTCACTGTACCAAGGTTTATTTGAAATACCCTAGCTGACTGTACTGAAAGTGAATATACACGTTAATTTGAACTGGGACTGTGGCGCCGTTATATGTCGCAACACCGCTAAATGTCGCATTTACCGCTAAATGTCGCACCATTGCCGCTAAATGTCGCAACCGCCGCTAAATGTCGCAAAATCATTTGCCGTTAAATGTCGCAATGTTAACGTTAAATGTCGCACGGATTTCCCCTACCGTTAAATGTCGCAACACTATCGTTAAATGTCGCAAGATGTTGAACTCGAGTTTTATATAAATCAGCGGATCTGTGGATTTTAAAGATACAGCGAGTGTTGTATTCTTACGCATTTTACAAAACTTTTTCTTGCTCATACTATGTTGTTATTGGTGGTGGTCGTGTTGGCGGCGGTGGCAGCGGCGGCGGCGAAATTAAAACGCTTTTAAGGCAAAACTTAGAAGAATTAAAATTACCTCTTATGAAAAAGGTAACAGAAATATTTCATGGATTTTTTTGGTTGAAAATATGGAAAAATATACTGAAAAACATTACAAAAGGAAAAAAGATTTTTCAGCCGTATGTATAAGTTACCTGCCCCTTAGATTACCTCAAATAAGTGGCTTGCCCGGCTATAGACTACACGTGAAAATCAAATAAAAAACAGTTAAAAAAGATATAGAATTCTATACCTATCAATGAAATTTTCAGTGTCAGTTCTAGCTAGGCGCCGTTGAACGTTTTAATAGCCAGAGCAACAGAAATAAATTAGGGTAGATGTGATATATACGCGCTGCATTTTGAACAATCTTATGAATGTTTTTTTATTTTCTACTTTTGCAATCTGTTTTTTTTTCTCTTTCAATTTTGTTATTTTAGTCTGATGCTGATTTTTTTTTAAAATAAGTCAGTGTTCATGTAATTTACTTTTTTGTTTACATTTGTTACAATGTCACGAATGTGTTTCCTATTCTAATTAAAATCTGGGACCAAAACATTTATTATTGTTCCAGTTAAAATATACAAACCAGGGTATGAATTTTTTAAAACTAACGCAGAGATATAGATAAATTTACATCTCTAATAAACGTTATTACTATGACGAAACTGGTAATATCTTTTTCTAAATTTATATACTATTGGATGCATGTTAACTTGTGTGCAAGATTTCAGATTATTCGCTCACTCTATTTTTCCAGTACAAGTGCAAAATGACCCAAAAATGAAAAGTGGTTAAACGCTTTTAAAACCCAAATCGGACAAGAATTACACATAATCGCGGATTTATATATTACATTGTAATTAAGATCCTTGACAAAATAGAATTTATATCGAAATCAAATCAGAGTACATATATTTATTATATACCTATAAATGAAATATTGAGAAATATTGATGAAATAAAACGCTTATTTTCATTTTCGTACTTCACTGTAAAAAAGTATTTTAGTGAAACATATTTTCTGTGTATTCACTGGTGTCTTGCCGGACTTCTCTCTTTCAAATTTAAGGAATAGTTTTCTAAATTGTAATTTAAGAATAGAGACAAATGTATATAATAAACAGAAAATTCAAGTTTTTTTCTATAAATACATGATTTATTTTCATATTGTGGCATGAAAATTATCACATTTCACTCGTGGATACCGCCACTCATGAAATATTTATTCTCATACCACTTGATGAAAATAAATCGTGTATTTACAGAAAAAACTTGAATATCCCCTATACATTTTAACATCTTTTGTATATTTGTCCTGCAGTTTATCTATGTACGAATGTATTTTTTATGTGTTTAGGTTTTAAGACCACAATGGAGCTCCTTTAATTAAATACTTTAACAAACTTATATATTATGAACCGTTTTTAACTTTAAGGTCCCAGCTTCTTTCAATATTTCATTTTGGTACAACTTCCAATTGTTCTTGCGTCTTAATGCTCGAATGACGAATAAAAACTGTTTCGCGCATGTCAGGTGATGGTGTGCCAACCACGTTAACTTTTTGGTCCTTCCGAATTATCCAGACGGGGAACAATAGTTTTATATAAATTCATAGCAAATTAAATCGTGTGACTGAAAAGAGATCGGAAAATGTTTTGCTGGCGTCTTTAACGGATTATTTAGTAAAGTCGTTTTGGTGAGAATCAATCAGTGGTTAAACATACAAGATTGTCCCCGAGCGCTCAAGATTCATGGTCGAGTGATTTTCCATGCACTTTACTGTTAGCTACATTTGCGTGAAGTTTGTGAGAGGGACGTGACGGAAACAAAAGTATGGCAGATTTGGAATTGTTTCTTTTATTTTAGGACGTCGAAGAACTTAGTATCAATCAAAAATGTAAGTTATTTTATATTTTATTAATAAAAACTATATAGCCGAAACGTAATATTATTACACATGAAAATCGGGAAAGCGTTACTGTTTCTTTTTTAGGAAAAAATGTAAATATTTCACAGAAAATTCGGGAAATGTTATTGTATCACATAAAATTTGTAAATTATCAAATATTTTTCGTAGGTACAATTTGTTTGACACAAAGTTAAATTTTCCATGAATATGGACTTTAATTATAAATTAGCATTAATCATAAGGATTATACATGTTAAACTTTTAATTTTTCATGTGACGTTTCGATCATAGTTATTTTTGACCATTATGATAATTGGCTTATGATATAAAACAAAATACAGATATGAATAATTGATAGTTGGCATATGAGGTCTAACAAAGTATTGACACGGATGATTGACGTGTGATATGTAAAAATGATGGCCATGTTGATGACAATGTTGTTTTGATGAGGACGTCCATGGGTGTTACAGTGATGATGGAATGACGTTGTTCAAGTGAGCATCAGGTAAATTTAGTTATTTAAAGGAACGAGCTTTTTTTAGAAACTAGTTATTATTAGACAAATGAGTTTTAACTTTTCTTCGTAAGTTTTATCAGTTTCAGAACGGAACCAATGAACTTGCAAGTAATCATACTATATCGGGCCATGCTTGTGGAACAAGGACAGCACACATTATGCAACATTAAAACAGCATTTACATTTGGAAAATTTGACATTATAAGAAATTTGATATACATATAATACATGTAAATGGTATTATGTCAGTAACTGAAACTGCGTAGAATTACAAAATTTTATTTTAGAAATGAAGATTCTTTGTCAAAACTGAAAACTATGTTTTATGTTTATGTATATTGACGATATTTTGTGTGCATTGTTTATATCGATTTTGGTTGTTTTGGTTTCTTTCTCAATTTTTGGAGTTGGTGTGTGATTTGGGTTATTCGATTTTGGTTCGGTGTTTTAGTTTGTCTCTTTGTTGGAGTTGTTTATGAGTGTTATGGTAGTTTTTCTTTGTCTTTGTTGGAGTTGTTAATGTCATTTGTGTGTTATGGTTGCCTTTCTTTGTCGAAAATTCTGGCCTTATTTCTGAATAGTTTGGGAATTGGTGGTCGATAAGACAGTTGATTCTTTGCTGATACATTGTGATCGATTAAAAAATTTCGGATTTTGGATTTTGTTAAACATGTACATGTACTAGTCGAATTATTATTATTCATCATTTCAAATAGTTATATCAATTTAATAAAAATGGGAGACACATTTATAGTTAGTCTATATTGAATTTTTAGCTGTACAATACCCAATTTTGTATAATTATATTGATGTTTAATATTAATGTGATATTTTTGATAATTATATAAATACATAGGTGGAGAATGCGGCAATATATTAAAGATAACATTGATTCTTTTAGATTTAGAACGTGACATTTCTAATAATGATATTCGGGTGTTGAATGCGACATTTTTAACAATTATATATACTGATTATTTTAGATGCAGAATGCGACATTTTAGACTAGTATAATATTATTGTTCTTTGGTTTTTCGTTTGTTTTCAGATGTCGTAAGAAAATATCACTGGATTACTTTTGAAAGACAAGACTAGATAAAATTGTATATTTCTAAATATTACAACTATATAATTCATACTATTGAAGAAAAATGTTTATTGATCATTTAGCAGACGTAAAGCAGGAAATGGCGGAAAGAATCCTAGCAGACGACAGTTGTCGCGCAGATGCAATCATGCACCATATCAGACTGCCCGAAATTACAGGCTGGCCCAGCTCTACTGTATACTGGACTCGCTTTCAGCATGTTACAGTAGGGTTTGAAAAAGGAAATCATAACTTTGTAACGTATGTCTTGTCTACTTTTTGAAAAATAAACTTTCGTGTCAATGTAATAATTATGTTGACATATCATTATTGTCTAATGTTTCATAATGAACCATTTTTAGCCAAACTGTTTGAAAAACGAGTAAGGGCTATTTTAGTCACTTGGTCGTCTGTTCTCGTAAAACATTTCGTTTTGCATGTTTTGTGTGTAACTTCCTACCTTAGAATTCATTATGATTGTGTAACGGGGAACATAATCTAAACACCTTTAACTTTAAACTAGATTTTGATTTATATAATTACATGTATGCCACTTAGTCAGCTTGATTTAAAGCAGTCATGTCGAAAATAATAATTTAAGTTTACAATATATTCTTATCAAATGAGCATAATAATGTTGAGTTATGGGTCATTAAGAACATTTCAGTAATTTAAACAAATAACTTACAATTATTTTTAAAATGCTAAAAAATGTAACATTTGTTCAACCATGTTACCAATAATGTTTCCACAGGTAGCAGACGACAATAAATTTTAAAGTGGAAATTTGCGACTTCCGGTGTGTCTGCTACTCGATGTTGTGATCTTAGTTACTTCCCCTGACGTTCAGTATATGAAATGAGGGTCGAGGTAAGTAAAGATATTTTAAAGAAATACAAAATTTAGCTAAACATAGAACAATACATTTTACAGATAAGGCTTTGTGAGTCGCTGATTACACCTTTAACTCCGCAAAATATTTTAAATGGACTTGCCCATCTTCAAATCTGGACAAAACCATTACTCATTTTAAGGGAAAATTTCAAAATATGTCATGTATGTAGTGACTTAATATCGAATAGTGCAGATCATGAGCAGATGTCAAGGATATGCCGACTGGTTTTGGTCGGCACTGGTCGCACGGGTACATGTATATGATGCTGGCACTAGAAGGCTGAGAGTAAATCAAAATATTGTAGATCTACCACACAAAATATTCAGAAAGTACTAATTACAGTTCATTAATAATTACAACTTTTAATTTAGTACAATGTTTGTATTTTAAAAGCATGTTAATTTCAGATGGACCATGACTTTTTAGCTCGACTATACGAAGTATATGGAGAGCTGTCCTACTCGCCCCGGCGTCCGCGTCGCGTCCAGATTTTAGATTAAAGTTTTGGTGCAGTAAAATATTTTTCACTATAACTGTGTCATTTCTTAAGGTATCAACTTCAAACTTCAAATATATGTTCCTTATCATCAACCACATCTTATGTGACAAGGTTCATAACTCTAGCACCAATATTTTCAGATTTATCTCCCCTTGAACTTAGAATTTTCCTTAAAAAATACTATTTTTTACTGATACTTCTTTAAGGGATCAACCTCATACTTCAAATATATGTACCTTATCATTATCCCCATCTTATGTGACAAGGTTCATAACTCTAGCACCAATATTTTCAGATTTATCTCCCCTTGAACTTAGAATTTTCCTCAAAAAATACTATTTCTTACTGTTTCTTCTTTATTTCTTAAGGGATCAACCTCATACTTCAAATATATTTACGTTATCACCATCCCCATCTTATGTGACAAGGTTCATAACTCTAGCACCAATATTTTCAGATTTATCTCCCTTTGAACTTAGAATATTCCATAAAAAATATTATTTTTTACTGTAACTTATTTATTTCTGAAGTGATCAACTTCATACTTCAAATATATTTACGTTATCATCATCCACATCTTATATGTGACAAGGTTCATAACTCTAGCACCAATATTGCAAGAATTATCTCCCCATAAACTTAGATTTATTTATAGAAAAATGTTATTTTTTAGCTCGACTATTCGAAGAATATGAGAGCTATTGTAGTCGCCCCGGCGTCGGCGTCGGCGTCGGCGTCAGCGTCCGCGTCGGCGTCTGCGTTGGTTAAAGTTTTTTGTAAAGTCAAATATCTCAATTATTACTTGAGATATTCAATTGAAACTTACAATACTTATTTATAGTAACAAGGTACATCAGATTGACAAGTTGGATAACTCTGCCTACAATATTAACAGAATTATGCCCCTTTTTAACTTAGAAATTTTGGTTAAAGTTTTTTGTAAAGTCAAATATCTCAATTATTGCTTGAGATATTCAATTGAAACTTACAATACTTATTTATAGTAACAAGGTGCATCAGATTGACAAGTTGGATAACTCTGCCTACAATATTAACAGAATTATGCCCCTTTGGAACTTAGAAATTTTGGTTAAAGTTTTTTTGTAAAGTCAAATATCTCAATTATTGCTTGAGATATTCAATTGAAATTTAAAATACTTTTTTATAGTAACAATGTACATCAGTTTGCAAAATTGCATAACTCTGCCTGCAATATTTGCAGAATTATTCGCCCCTTTGAAACTTAGAAATTTTGGTTAAAGATTAAAGGTCTTCAAAGATATTTACTGGAAACTTTACACATGCACTTAGAGTCATAATTTGAGGGTCATAATTGTATGTCACTGATCAAGTTCCATAACTCTAGTCTCATTTAGGCTGATTCATATCCCCTTTTCTACTTAGTCTCTTGGTTAATGTTTACATGCAAGTTTTACATATCTCAATAACTATTAAAGATATTTATCAAAAACTTCACATATGCATTTAGGGTCATAATTGTAGGTCACTGACAAAAATCCATAATTCTATCTTGCATTTAGGCTGATTTTTCTCCCCTTTTTCAACTTAGAAATTCATGCTTAAGTTTTTCTTGTAAGTTGTTATCTCAATAACTACTGATGGGTTTGTGCCTTTTTCGGGACAATTTTATGCATTCATAATAATAAAGCAGTGATTTACGTGATAAAACATCTTAATAACAAGCCTTTGTACCTTTTCTGTCAAATTTATTTATTCATAGGTAATTAGTATTATTATACTCAATAAAACACCCTTGTGACATTACCTTCCGAATAGTCAAGCCAATACTGTATAATTAGACTCTCTCTTAGGCCTATAACATGAATTTATAAAAAAAAATTAGCCCTTTTGTGAACTTAAAAAATTAAACAATATAAAGGCTCTTTTACTATCAAGCACTTAGAATAGTCGAGCGTGCTGTCCTACAGACAGCTCTTGTTATTTTAACTTTTTTATTTTTAAAGGTATCTACCTCAAACTTCAAATATTATTCCTTATCATCAATTACATTTAATGTGACAATGTTCATAACTCTTGAAGCAATATTTACAGATTTATCTCTCTTTGAACTTAGGATTTTCTTTAAGAAATATAATAACTTCTTTATTTTTTAAGGTATCTACTTCAAACTTCAAATATATATTTCTTATCATTACACAAATGTTGTGTGGCAAGGTCCATAACTCTAGCATGACTATTTCTAGAATTATTCCCCTTGATCTTGGAATTTATGTTAACAAATGTTATTTTTTACTGTAACTTAATACATAATTATACATAATTGATTTTTCTTTCATAGTTTTGTCCTCCTTACTGAGTCCAGTATTTCATTAGTCGAGCTTCGCTGTCTCCTGTGACAGCTCTTGTTGTAATTATTGTTGCTTTTCTAGAAAAAAAAATGAACTGAACATAATATAAAGACACTCGCTTCCTTAAAGTATTACAATCTAAATACAAAAAAATATACATTCAATAACTAAATTCACGAATAGGTAAAAGATATCGGCACTATTTTAGTGATTGTGCCGAAGGAAGGGAGATAAAAATATCTCTTATTATAATTATACCATAAAATATCATAATTATTTCTAATGCATAATGTGTATTTTGTAATGATCTGGTGACTTTGATTGTGACACTCCGATAACATCTTAATTTTCAACCTATAAATAGATAAAAAATTTAACATATATTTCAGTTTCAGGATTTGAAATTAAGAAAGAACGAAAGATATGAAATGAGCACCGGCAAACTGATCTTGGCATGTCACATCCTTATCACAGAACTGGAACCTACTGATTATGATGAGGTAAAAGTATATTTAATGAATATATGTATAGATTTGTTTCTTAGCCTGCTGAAAGCGAAAGTCATTAGTCTTTGCCTCCAGAATAGAGCCCGGCCAGCCTGCACATTTGTGCAGTTTGACCAGCCTCTTTACTGTTTGCTAACTTCCAATTTTTATTTTCATGTGATAATTAGTTATAATAATTTATAATGGACTGTTCCTTAAATAAAATGTTGAAAAGTCCATTTAATAATTTCCGCAGGTTAAAGCAGCATGCCTCCAGATTCATGCCCATTCTTCATGTAAATTTTGAAAATGTATCGAAAAAAGAAAAATATAGTGTAGTGAACAAGGAAAGTAATTTACACATTACAAACAGCATTTACAGTCTACTTACATTACCAAAAAAAAAGGCCAAAATATACACTAATAGCCATTGCGTTAGTCACGCAGTAGAAATATGGTAATAAGAACTGCGACTTCGGTCGTTAAAGACATTTAGCACATAAATAATTACTTGAATCTTAAATCTTTTTACTTCTCTTAAAATCTGAGTACATTTTTCTTAAGTTTGTTTTTCTTGAAATATTTTTGATTCATCTGGAGGCGTGCAGCTTTAAGGCTTGTTTATAGCTCTTGAATGAGACGTGTATTCATTTGGTTCTGAAACAGTACGGCATTGTGAAAATTGTTTCATGTTCGGGTTTGATAAAAAAAAAATTCTTTGCTTAACACAGAAGCAGTTACCTTTGTTGTTGTTATTCAGTTATGAATTGCTTTGGCTAAATAAATACATATACACCTACACTGGTATCGAACATTTTTCTTCATTATTCAAATTTGATAAAACTTTTGTAAGTTTTAGTTATAATAAAGGGCGTCCGTTACCGAGTGGTTGAATGAATTCATTGACTTCAAATCATTTTCACCCCACCCCCATTCCTTCACTTTTATGGGCAGCGACTTTGAATTCATGAATAGTCCTTTTTCCGCCAGTAAAGCTAAAAAATTATTATTGTACCGTCGAGACAGTAACCATTCACCTACTAAATTAGAGTAATGGATCTGCCCTGCATAGAATTTGGAACAGTCCATTTGAAGTTTATGGGATTTTAATGACAAAATACAAATTTGAGCACACGATAATACATAGCCTGGGCACGGAGTGCAAAGGGTTAAACCCAACCAGAATAATTGAACCATTGCAGTTAAGAATATACTAGAAATAATAAGAGAATCGTTTAATGACATCTTGAGTGAATAAAAGCTTTATGACCACTATTTGAGTAAGACGTAATTATTTGTTTATTGTATTCCTGAATTCTATTATCTGCATTTTTTAATAAGAGTATTGATAACATTGTTTTTTTTTTTTAATTTGGTGGTTCAACCCGTGCGCCTGCTGTCTTTTGCAAGTGAAACGCAAAGTGATACAAGTGATATGAATATTTTATACATTATACAAGTTAAATGTTGATGCTGACATCAAAGACGCCGCCAAATGATGTGAACAGTCAATCAGCATTGAAAATCGTTCTCTATTACTGTTGAATATCCGAAGCACAAATCATTTTTTTTCTCCATGTTCTTGGTATGTGCTCGTTGTTTAATAATTAAGTTGCATATTTTTGTGAAAAAGTAGAACCTAATAGGTAATGCAATGTCTGAAATTCTGAAATATTTGTCTGTTGCGACAAAGATTGAAACGTCTGGTCAAAGCAAAATAAATCTTTGTTCATTTTTTCTGAAGAGTTATTTCTTAAACAGTTTGTTTGCTGGTATTAAGGTGTGCAGCTTTAAAGGAAGGCCCATTATGCCCCCAAAAATGTTTTTATTTTTATATCTGAAAAGCTTTTTATTTTTGGTATCCTATTATAGTTTCAAAACAGATATTCATTGGTCATTTATCTTAATAATCTTTTGTTTTTTTGAAAACAGTTTTAATGATTTAGTATTTTGTTCATATTCATTGGTCATTTATCTTAATAATCTTTTGTTTTTTTGAAAACAGTTTTAATGATTTAGTATTTTGTGTAGAAATTAAAATACGACTGTGTTTACAGTTTGCGACCTTTAAAACAATATTTTCACATTCAGCCATACTTTATTTTTCTAATAAGCATCTAACATGCTTTAAAGCATTATTTGAACGTTATAATACTTATGTTTGCACTGCCTAATGTAGGAAAAAATGATTTATTTCTGAGGCATAATGTGCCTTTAAGGAAAAACAGTTGATTCTAAGTTGAATATAATTTTTACAATGCAGGTGTATCGGTGATCTTTACATTTCAGAAATACGGAACATGGTAAATTGAGCAGGTGAAGGAATGAAGAAAACACCACCCTCTTGACAGTCAGCAAAATAACTATGCTTTGTTACGGTTTGGAACTACTGCATGCCGTTACAACTTAATATGTGACAAAGAGATTTTAATCCACCTGATACGATTTGGTATCTTTCTGAAAATGTCATGTTCAACTTCTGAATGGTGTTTTTTTCTGCCAAATTTAAGAAATATATTACCATGTAACTGTCTAATATTTATGGCAATTATGAAGTAATAGTGAGTTTTTGGCGTAGTAATAAAAACCATAAAAGGTGTTAGCTCGATTGGATTTTCTACATGAACTTAAAAAAATAACACCTTCATAAATGCCTTGATGTGAACAGAATAGAAGGGATATTTTATTTGCTTTTTACATTGTACATCTTCTATTTAACATACTGTGCCGTCAATAAATTGAAATGGCAATAATGAGTATAATTGCAATAATGAATGATGCATTTTTTTGCAATGTATATTTCAAGTGGTGTAATAAGTAAATTTTGATCAGGAATGTACATTTATTAAGACTTAATATATATGCAAACATACTGTACCGTTAACATAATGGCAATAGTAAAATTGCAGAAATGAATGATGCCCATTTTTTACAATGTATATTTCAAGAAGTGTAATAACTAACATTTAATACATGATAGAAACATCCATTTGAAATTTCTTAAGATTTAGATAATAATAACACCACCAAGAATATCACCACTACCACCAAAAACAACATTAATGAAACATAATGAAAACTCCAACGATGAAATATTTCATCATTTAAAAACATGCAATGATGAAAAAATTAAATAAAATATTAGAGTAATTGTAATCACGACCAGAAGAACAATAATGAAATAAAGTAATGAAATAACAATATGAGTGAAATAAAATAAAAACTATAAAATGAAATGAAATGAAATGAACAATAATGAAATAAAATGAAAACAAAAATAATGAAATAAGATAAAATAAAAACAATAAAATAAAAGCAAACAAAAAATGAAAATAAAAAATTGAAATAAGGTAACAAGAAATGGAATGAAAGAATATTATTGTCACAAGTGACCATTTAGTTGTTTACCTATAACATTCTTGACCTTAAAGTGACCAGCCTTTGCCACCAGTATGCAGCCAGGCCAACCTGTACGTCCGTGCAGATTGACCAGGCTCTAAACCGTTGGCTGACCAATTTCAAATTTGATTTTATTCAAGTTATATTCCCTAAATTGAGAATGAACGTATTCAGAAACGGAAGCTGGACAAGTCCGCTTCCGATAATATTATCAACCTTATACATGATATAATGTGTTCCTTTATATTTTGAAGTATCATTTGTTTCATTTTTTATCTTTTAAATGCTTTAAATAAGGAGTCACAAAGGGTTACTTTATCATTTTCATTTCCAAGCATATCCTCGTGCGTTTCATCGCCGGATAGCCACTGATAAACACTGCCTATCTTGATTACATGTTTATCAACCGTGAGTATCCGACGATGCATGCGTTTATGCTTGTTTTTTTTTGTTGTTGATTTTTTTATTGTTGTTTTCAGTTTTTATATGATCTGACAAAAAGTTAAAAAAGATGGTGGGGGCTAGCATCATTTAGCTTTTTTGTTCGCTTTTGATACGTTATTCTATCATTTTTTTAACTTTACTTGCCTGTTTTAATTTTTTTAAAGTTTTTTTAAATTAATTAATTAATTAATTAATTAATTTTATTTATTTATTTATTTACCTACTTATCTTTATTTATCTATTTATTTATTTATTGTTTTGCAAATTACATCAAGCGAAAAGGGAGGCTACTTGTTTTAAAATACAGATTGATCTCCCCTGAAAATTTAAATGATAAGAACGGACCAAAGGAGACTTCTCTTCATTAAAAGAAGTATAAAATGATAAAAAGTCGTTTTCCCGTCAGTTTACACTCCATTACCACTTGTTATTTTTTCTAACTGATAACTCTCACACATCTTCGGCACTAACATTAACATTTGGGGAAAATGACTTTCATAATGCTACTGTAAAACTTCCAACAAATATCAATCAAAAGTAATAACATTTGGTCGTGAAAATTTAGCCGCAAAAGGCATAATGTTTAATTATCAATAGGGAGAGAAGTCGCCTTTTGGTCCAATTTTCAGGGGTGGTTACACCGTTACTTAATTAAGAATGGTCTCCCTTTGGTCATACTTGCTTTTACAAATTCTTCTGCAATATTAAATTTAACATCAAAAACAATTTAAAGGAACACACTATAGTCAAAATTGGATACTTCCTTTTTTACAAGTATACAGAAACTTGAAATATTTCAACCAATTTTTGGGTAGATTAATGCTTTGATTAGAATCTTTTCACTTAGTACATATAAAAATATGAAAATACTATAGACCTAGTATCTTTACTTATTGAATCACGTTTTTTTTCAAGTATTATTTAAAATAGTTGGCTATAATTTGTGTCACGGGTAAACAGAGGAAAACCATCAAAATTTTGTATACTAGTTTATATATATCTGGAATATTTTAAAGAACAACATTTGACATTTTAAATCTGTCTTGTATCTTGGAAACTTCTTTGCGTTTGTTAATATTTCATTTCTGGAATATTTAAAATATCTCAACATTCTTAAAATTCTAAATAATTCTAACGATGTCCTTTCATAGTTTGAAACATTAATATATTTGTTAATATTTGGGGGAAAAAATGAAATTAATTTGTGTCGTGGGAACTGCTTTACTATCTAAACGTCCTTAAATGAAAAAAAGCTTAGTTTTAATGAAGACCACTACTTGAAATAATATAACTTGTGTCTGGAAAATCACTTGAAATATCTTAACTAAATTAAAATATCTTAACATAAGTTGAGTTATGAAGAATGATTGAAATATCTTAACTTAATTGTGTCTTGAACAATAATTGAAATATCTTAACTTAGTTTGAGTCTGAAAAACAATAATTGAAATATCTTAACTCAGTTTGAGTCTGGAATAATACTTGAACTATCTTAACTTAGTTTGAGTCTGTAACAATACTTGAACTATCTTAACTTAGTTTGAAACATTTGGGGAAAATGACTTAGTCTATCATTTTATCATTTTATACTATCTTAACTTAGTCTGAAACAATACATGAAATATCTTAACTTAGTTTGAATCTTGAGGAATACTTGAAACATCTTAACTGAGTTTGAGTCTGGAACAACACTTGAAATATCATAACTTAGTTTGAGTCTGGAACAATACTTGAACTATCTTAACTTAGTTTGAGTCTGAAACAATACATGAAATATTTTAACTTAGTTTGAATCTTGAAGAATACTTGAAACATCTTAACTGAGTTTGAGAATGGGACAACACTTGAAATTTCTTAACGAAGCTTGTGTCTGGAACAATACTTGAAATATCTTATCTAAGCTTAAGTCTTGAAGAATAGTTGAAATATCATAACTTAGTTTGAGTCTGGAACAATACTTGAAATATCTTCACTTAGTTTGAGTCAGGAACAATACTTGAAATATATTGACTTAGTTTGAGTCTTAATCAATATTTGAAATATTTTAACTTAGCTTGTGTCTGGAACAACACTTGAACTATTTTAACTTAGTTTGAGTCTTGAACAATACTTGAAATATCTTAACTAAGTTTGAGTCTTGAACAATACTTGAAACATCTTAACTGAGTTTGAGTCTGAAACAAGACTTGGAATTTCTTTACTTAGCTTGTGTCTGGAAGAATATTTGAAACATCTTAACTGGGTTTGAGCTTGGAACAATACTTGAAATATCTTAACTGAGTCTGAGTCTGGGACAAAACTTGAAATATCTTGACTTAGTTTGAGTTTGAATCAATATTTGAAATATTTTAACTTAGCTTGTGTCTGGAACAACACTTGAACTATCTTAACTTAGTTTGAGTCTTGAACAATACTTGAAATATCTTAACTGAGTTTGAGTCTGGGACAATACTTGAAATATATTGACTTAGTTTGAGTCTGAATCAATATTTGAAATTTCTTAACTTAGCTTGTGTCAGGAACAACACTTGAACTATCTTAACTTAGTTTGAGTCTTGAACAATACTTGAAATATCTTAACTAAGTTTGAATCTTGAACAGTACTTGAAATTTCTTAACTTAGCTTGTGTCTGGAAGAATATTTGAAACATCTTAACTGGGTTTGAGCTTGGAACAATACTTGAAATATCTTAACTGAGTATGAGTCTGGGACAAAAATTGAAATATCTTTACTAAGCTTGAGTCTGGAACAGTACTTGAAATTTTTTTAACTGAGTTTGGGTCTGGAACAACAATCGAAATTTCTTAACTTAGCTTGTGTCTGGAACAACACTTGAAATATCTTTACTTAATTTAAGTCTTAACTTAGTTTGAGTCTGAAACAATAATTGAAATATCTAAAATTAGCTTAAGTATGGAAAAATACTTGAATTATCTTATCTAAGCTTGAGTCTTGAACAATACTTGAAATATCTGAACTTAGTTTGAGTCTGGAACAATACTTGAAATATCTTCACTTAGTTTGAGCCTGGAACAATATATGAAATATCTTGACTTAGTTTGAGTCTGAATCAATATTTGAAATACCTCAACTTAGCTTGTGTCTGGAACAACACTTGAACTATCTTAACTTAGTTTGAGTCTTGAACAATACTTGAAATATCTTAACTAAGTTTGAGTCTTGAAAAATACTTGAAACATCTTAACTGAGTTTTAGGTTGGAACAATACTTGAAATATCTTAACTAAGCTTGAGTCTGGAACAATACTTGAACATTTTTTACTAAGTTTGAGTCTGGAACAACAATTGAAATTACTTAACTTAGCTTGTGTCTGGAACAACACTTGAAATATCTTTACCTAATTTGAGTCTTAACTTAGTTTAAGTCTGGAATAAAAATTGAAAAATCTAAACTTAGTTTGAGCCTTGAACAACACTTGAAATATCTTCACTAAGTTTGAGTCTTGAAGACTACTTGAAACATCTTAACTGAGTTTGAGTCTGGGACAACACTTGAAATATCTTAACTTAGCTTGAGTCTTGAACAATACTTGAAATATATTAATTGAGTTTGAGTCTGGAACAACAATTGAAATTACTTAACTTAGCTTGTGTCTGGAACAAAACTTGAAATATCTTTACTTAATTTGAGTCTTAACTTAGTTTGAGTCTGGAATAATAATTGAAATATCTAAACTTAATTTGAGTCTGGAACAACACTAGAAATATCTTAACTAAGTCTGAGTCTTGTAGACTACTTGAAACATCTTAATTTAGTTTGAGTCTTGAAGAATACTTGAAATATCATGACTTTACTAAGTTTGAGTTTGGAACAATAATTTAAATATCTTAGTTTGAGTCTGGAACCATACTTGGAATATCTTAACTTAGTTTGAGTCTTGAAGAATACTTGAAACATCTTAACTTAGTTTGAGTCTAGAAGAATACTTGAAATTTTTTAACTTTGTTTGAGTCTGGATTTTTTTTTCAAAAACTTAGTTTGAGTCTGGGACAATACTTGAAACAGCTTAACTTAGTTTGCGTCTGGAACAATACTTAAAATATCTTACCCTAGTTTGAGTCTGGAACAACAATTGAAATATCT